GTGTTAAAGGTGGATCCGTGAGCAAGGAGGGAAGAAAAAGTTAGGGCGTTAGAGCGATGACGACGTCGAAGGAAAATTCTGTGTGCTCGTTGATAGACAGGACAGTCCAATTGAATATGGGATATTGAAATTGGAACCAGACAATTCTCACAGAGTGAAACAAGGCGCCTCTCCATGAGATACCCATGAGTGAGACGAGTGTGTCCGATGCCAAGATAGGAGAGTATTGTCTCCCAACCTCGGCGTCGATGATAAGAAGACCAGAAACGTAAACTTGGTTTGATAGAATATAATTTGTTATGAGTCACATCAGAGCAACGTTGTTGCCAGCGGTTGCGGAGGTGACTAGAGATTACAACAAAATGGTCCGAGGATGGAATACTTCTATATGAAAGTGGGAGGTCAAGTACTGCAGATCGCACAGCAGTCTGCTTGCTCATTGTCTTGAACATCAACATGACCAGGGACACAACAAAAAACTATTTCTTTATTTTTGCTAGTAATGCGGCGCAGCCAAAGTTGTATATGAAGAACTAGAGGATGAGGCTTGAGGTGAATCAAATTTTTTAATAGCTTGCAAAGTACTAGGGTCTGAAACAATTACAAACGTTGAAGTAGGCATAGATGCAATACGGATAATTGCAATGAAAATGACATACAATTCAGCTGTAAAAATGCCAGCCCAATCTAATAAATGACCTCACACTACGATGTCCGGAAACACAGCTGCAAACCCGACACCGTCAGAGGATTTAGAACCATCAGTGTACACTGCAACGGCATGAGAATGAGATCGGAAGTAGTTAAGAAAAAGGGAGCGAGAAGCAACTGCAGGGATTTGGGCTTTCGCGCACGGCAGTGAAGAAGAGCACACACGAACTGTCGGAACCTCCCAAAGATGAAGTGAAAAGTTAGAAACTAAATGACCATATAAAGGGGGAAAATGAAGAGAAGACAAGAGTGAGCGAAGAAGAGAAAATGGACGGAGTAAACAGGGGCGGCGAACAAATGATGGACTTCTGCTAACGTCCATTACAATCCTGTATGTAAAAGGATCGTGAAGGTCATGAGAGCGGACAAAATAGCGGAGGCAATGAGCATCACGACGATCGTTCAAGGAACATTCGCCTCTGCATAGAGGTTCTCGACCGGTGAGGAGCGAAAAGCACCTACACATAAACGTAATCCCTGATGATAAATGGGATCCAGTTTAGAAAGAGTTGGAGGAGAGGTCGCAAAATATATAAAATTAGGGTTGAATGCAGTCGAAGGAGAGTGCGACGATCCGCCCCATCATGAAAGATGAATGAGCGTTTAAATCATGAAAGATGAATGAGCGTTTAAGGCTCAACCGGCTTTGGCAAGTTGCTTTCAAAAAGGTAATGTGAGATTTCCATGACAACCAGCGATCAAACAGAAGACAAAGAAATGTGATCGTATCACATTCAAGGATAGGAAGTTATAGATCTATCTACCAACTTTTCCTGTTATTCTTTTATCACGCATTTTGTGTGCTATTACGCCATGTTCGCACTTGTTGAAGGTTTTCGCAAAGTCTGTGTATACTAGGTTTAGATTATTGTCCCGTGGAGTGTTATTTAAAAAATGGGGTTTATTTTATAATCTATAACTTGAGAATGCTTCTTCTGAGTGCCTCTAAACTTAAGAGCTGCTGTATCTAACGCAAAAGGTTTATTTTTGGATTTAAGCCGTCTATATGCAAATTTGTCCTTTTTCTAACATAACTGGGATTGTTGTTTTGTGTGATAGCTGAACAATTCTTCATTCGATTGGACTTCAGATTTTCCGCGTTAGTGTATTTTGCTCAAGTGAAAGTTCCTGTTGTTAACTCTCTGTTTAAGTCCGGATTTATCACTTTTATTTGAATTATTTGATATGGGATATGTGTTGGAAAGTGTTAGTTCATGAAACATGGATACGTAGTGCCCCGTGTATCTTTAAGTTATTTTGATTTTTTAGTCTTACTGCGTTATGACTGGATTAAAAGTTAGTTTTTGGCCTTCATTAGAGTGTTGAACTAGAGTTCCTGAGCCTCTTGCCTACAGTGAGGTGCAGGGTGCTGGAGTGATTATGGGACACAAGAATAACTTCCTTGAGGCTGAAGTACATCTAAATTCTGTTGTTGTTGGTACTACTACTACTACTAGTAGTAGTAGTAGTACAAATAGTAGTAGGTAGTACTACAAATAGTAGTAGTAGTAGTACTACAAATAGTAGTAGTACTACAAATAGTAGTACTACAAATAGTAGTACTACAAATAGTAGTAGTAGTAGTACTACAAATAGTAGTAGTAGTAGTACTACAAATAGTAGTAATAGTAGTACTACAAATAGTAGTAGGTTATTATTATTAAAATTATTAGGTATGGTATTTGTATATTATATACTGGTTTTCGACACCTTTACCATAGGGTCACAACTGCTTATTCTCGATCATCTGTGATTCAACAATAATCTAAGACGAACCTAAACGTGGTCTCAACTTCCTTTCTCGTAAATGTGTGCGTTTTGAGAATTAGTTTTTTTTAAAGTACACTTTTTTTTTATCATGTCCATGTGGAGTGTGATCATATACAAACTAAATATGTTTGGATTACGTCTACCTTGATGTGTGATATTATAAAACCCAGTAAGACAACATAACAGACTAAGAGTCTCTCTAGATGGTGGTGGTTTATTTGTCAGGAAACAATAGTTTCCTCAGACAAGTGTTAACAAGATGATGACCATTTACAGGTTAAATATCCGCTGCCGTACATCACTTACGTTTAACCCCCCTTTTAAAAACAACAGGCTGACGACAGGGTAGTTTATCCTAAGATATCCATACGTTTAACACTAAAATATTTTATAATTGTAGTTTAGACATATTTAACACAAAATTATAAAACATTAAAAAATGAAAAAATTAAAATAATTTTTTTTAATATAGTAAGTTATTTATTATCATTAATTTTAAAACAAAGCATTATAAGCTTCATTATTATAAATGTACATGTAAAATTTTTTTTAAAAGTATATTTTATTAAGATCAAAATAGTATTAATTCATATAAACATGTGTTATTTTTGCTAAAAATTTTTGCGACGTGGGCAGAGGAAACACCCCATGGAAGGCCTCGGTCAGGTATCAAAATGCTTCAGGGAGCAGGACATTATTAAAACTAGGGACTCGCCTCAGGAACAACTGCTTGTTTTTACAACATGTTTATTTAATCTACAGAGTTCTTATTAAACAGTATGTTAATTCAGATTGTGTAAGCATGTGTGTTGTCACCTGATCAAACACATTGTTAAAACACTATCTGTGGCAGACAAAAACACCCGCGTGAGTCGTTAATATCATCACACTAAAAAGTGGTCTTAGGCGAGCAAGCAGCATTGTTGTATTAAACATGCTGAGGTCGGGGTGTCACATGAGCAAGCAGCATTGTTGTATTAAACATGCTGAGGTCGGGGTGTCACATGAGCAAGCAGCATTGTTGTATTAAACATGCTGAGGTCGGGGTGTCACATGAGCAAGCAGCATTGTTGTATTAAACATGCTGAGGTCGGGGTGTCACATGAGCAAGCAGCATTGTTGTATTAAACATGCTGAGGTCGGGGTGTCACATGAGCAAGCAGCATTGATGTATTAAACATGCTGAGGTCGGGGTGTCACATGAGCAAGCAGCAGCATTGTTGTATTAAACATGCTGAGGTCGGGGTGTCACATGAGCAAGCAGCTACAGAGCTCACACGGGGGCCACAAGAGACCAATAAACATCTCAACACAATATGAATTCCCCTCCAAGCAGCCAGCTGCTAGGCTCCCACCGCCGCCTCCACTCTAAATGATGTGCAAAAACATTGGCTGAAGCGAAATACGCGTAGTGTGGTCTTGAAGCAATACTCAATGAACGACGTACGTGTTTTTTGTGATAAATACCATTCAAAAATATTTTTAAGCGATCCAATGATACTAGGACTACATCTGGCTCTATGTCTGATTTTATGTTGCCTCTGATTGTAATGTTAACACTCGTACAGTAAAATGATCAGTCATAATTATGCATCATGTACGTATTTTCATTGCGTACTAACGTGAAAAATATTCTTCAGCACTGCAACGGCTGCTTCACGTTTATTGTGAAATTATCAAAGCCGTCGCTCACTCTTAATAATCAGACGAACATACAGCTCCTGTAGCTAATGTACTCTTGCTGCAGTACTTAACGATATCCTCATTATCCTACTCAGGTCTCCCAGCTCAGGCTGACAAATTTCAACACTTTATATGAACCCCATCCTGCATGACGGAATATAACAGGGATACATAGCTAGCTTTTGTTCCCGCCGTGTCATCATCATACAGCACAGAGTAGCAGCAAACTGCTGATGTGTCCAATTTTGTTTAATAATAAAAAAAAATTATACAGTGGGTTATTTTCGATATGAACAATTGTGCGACGCTGATACTGATGTTAAATATTCGCCAGGAGCTTACTGCCAACACGGGTCTTCAAGTGGGACTGGTCTCTGGTGTGTACGGCACAATGGGTGACCATAATGCATTTCTTCACCTCCAAACACAAACACCTTATATACCCTCCTGCAACTCCCTTGTATACCCTCTTGTAGCCCCCGGTATCCCCTCGTGTAGCCCCTTATATGCTTACGTGTAGCACCCTGTAAACTTTTGTAGATACGGTATACCTTCATGTAGCCCTTTGTATACCTAGTGTAGCCTCCTGTATATCCTCGTGTAGCCTCTTGTATTTCCCTATGTAGCACCCTGCACTAGAAAGTACCCTTATTTCAAGCCGTGGTTGGACGCAACAAGCATGCTCAAATTTTATGTATCAGAGCAACTTCTGTACCTCAATCTACCTTCTGTACCACGCGTAGTCCCCTGCACATTCATGTAGGCCTCTATATCTCCCTGCAGCCCCTTCTATTACCGTGTAACTACCTGTACCCTCTAACTTACGTACAACTTACCTGAAGTACCGCTCTCCAGGGTGCTCTTGTCTGCCTTTTTGAGTTTCTTGGCCTCATGTCTGGCGTACCTGCTCAGGTCCTTCGTGTACCGCCCGTACATCTGTCAGGGAGAGAGAAGCATATTTATTATACCTGGAGGTATTGTTCAGCCCACACCTGCCTGTTTTAGTCTCATACATCTGTCAGTGAGGCAGCTTTAGTATCTTAAGTACACTTAAGGGTATTGTTGAGCTCATACCTTTACCACACTTATAAGTGTTAGCGAGGCTGGAGAGGAGATAGGGTAGGGAACGTCACAGGAAAAGTAAGAGAAGGCGGAGGGTGTGAAGGAGGTTTCTAGAAGTAGGAGCGTGAGCATTCAGCAAGCATGAACGAGTGCTAGGCTGGAGTGGAAATAAGTGGTTCTGAGGACTGAACGTCTGGTTGGAGTGGCACTGTCTACTGCATACTGAACCTACGTCGATAATGAAGACGAGTATTGGGTATTTTTCTCATTATGAGGCTATCACCAACATACAGGCACAGAACAACCCATCGTGCCACCCATATCAACCCAATGACACCTGTCACTGTTATCCCACAACAACAAACCACTTTTCATGTGACACAAAACCTGAAAGATACCCAGAAGAGACACTATCCTCAGAAAATCCCAGTGATAGCGCGCCATTTCGTACATGCTGGACGTGATAGCGTGACACGAGGCGGCAGCCCAATTGCATGTGTTAGGAACAAAGATGATCAAGGGGTAGATGTAGCTCCACAGTTTAAGATCCTTATAATGAAACGCCCAGAAAATGAGGACTAAAACTTATGCACAAAGACAGCCATCCAAGACTCCAGAGACCTCAACACTATACCAGGGCACTGCTTATTAGTCTTATGAGAGTTATTTCAGATATACGGAGTTTTTCTTGGAAACGCCTACCCAACACATTATTGACACTCCAATATACCATTCTGGTCTTCGCTGCAGTTAGTAAATAATGTTACTAATATTATTTTTACTATTATCATAATTATAACAGAATTTTTAAAGGGGTGGACCTGAGAGTCAGCGGAAGTCCTATGTCAGATGACCAAAAGCTCCAGCTGTGGGTCATCATATGACTAAAACCCGCATCAAGAAAAATTTGTCCTGTTTCCTGGGAAACATTATACCTACCAAGTTGTTCACAATGCACAGAAGAAACGGGTCACGTATATAGTTAAGACCCGTCTCAGTAAAAACTTCACCTGTCTCTTGACGAATACAAAAAATGTTTACACAATGTAATTTAGATATGAGCATATAACTTTGTGTTACTATAAATATTAAGTTTTTTTTTTTTTAATTTGTCTCTACGTCTACAGCAGGACTCGAACCTGCAAACTCTTTATCAGAGTAACCAGTACTTTACCACGGAGCCAGACTCAGCTCTGTGGTAAAGTACTGGTTACTCTGATACAGAGTTTGCAGGTTCGAGTCCTGCTCTGGACGTAGAGACAATATATATATATATATATATATATATATATATATTTATATATATATATATATATATTTTATATATATATATATATATATATATATATATATATATATATATTTTATATATATATATTATATATATATATATAATATAATATATATATATAAAATATATATATAAATAAAAAACTATATTACTATTTCAGTGAATAAAATGTCCTTGATTGATGGTGTACAGGTGACTTGCAGACTTAATGACCCTCACGTAGTTGATAGGCATGAGAAAAATACCAACTGGAATTACTAAGATGTTTCCTCATTATACTATTGTATGGATCAGAATAATACTTCCATAAATAACAGTCTTAATCAATGAAAGGATGACTGCTTTAAACGATCCAATTAAGAGTTTTTCATACGATTAAAGTATGTAAAGTTATTTTCGATTATAATTAAACTAGCAAGAACAACAGCATTTGTCAGCAGACCTTCTGTAGTGCTCTTCTGTTCTAATGTACGTGTGAGACGAGGCTGACCTTGGAATAAATAATGTGTTGCAATAGTAACCAGGATATTTTACTTGAAGATGTTTCTCTCGGGGAAGCTTTTACAGTTCTGGTTTCTACACCTGCTTTATTTCGCACTTGTCGGTATCTGATACCATCACTTGCCGAGGGTGGCCATGCAGAGCCTCCGAGACGTCACACATGCTAATCAGATGATGCCATCAACAAACCTCGTTGACATATTTCTTTCCAGCTTCCAAAGATGCTCAAGTGTTGGGGTGTCTCTCTTTCTCTGTCTTTCTCTGTCTCTCTGTTTCACGGTGAATGCGAGAATGGACGGAACAATGATCTTGAGAATAACATGCACTACACAAAATACCTTAAAATCCACATAATTCAACACCAGTTATTCTAAAAGGGGATAACTACTGTAGTTATTTTTCCTCCCTACAAGGTTTCATGTCAATAACTTGAGAACGCCTGTACTGATCGGCTTCTAACTTTTAAAATTAACATATCTTAATGAGAGGAAGGCTTAAATTGCTATGGGGTTGTGTTATAGTTTAACATATTTATTATGTACTCCATACCCATCCTATGGGCATTAGTTAGAGGATTACAGAGGTACATAATGGGTCCAGAGTCTAGGCCGCAAAGTTTTGATAGCTGAACAAGTTACAAAGGTAATGAGCTATTTACATAAAAAAACCCATACCACGGGCGGGGATAGAACCCGCGATCAGAGTCTCAAAACTCCAGACCGTCGCGTTAGCCACTGGACCAGCTAGCCACAATAAGATTCGTGGTATGGTTTGTTTGTAATCATGTCATTACGATTTCGTGAGTCATGTTAACTATTTACATGTTTATATCTGGTCACAATCGTAATGAGTTATTTAATCAAGCATTAATTAGGCCACACACACACACACACACACACACACACACACACACACACACACACACACACAGGCTGTGTGTGTACCAATTTGTCACTTTTATGGGAATTCCTCTCCTGAACGGCTTTAATACAACAAAAGATGTATCTAGCTGAATCAAGGCTCGGGATCGTCTTGGACTGTTTCAGAGCAAATTTACAGATTACATTACATGGTTATAAAGAACCAATTGCTGTTTTTTTTGCAATAACCTGAAAATACCTCCTGAGATCAACTTCATACCAGCAAAACAACTTGTCGGTATTTTGTACCTCTTACGACTAAGAAAGTATATAGTGTTTGAGATCCCATGTAACTGGTCACTGTGTAAAATGATTTTATCATTAAGATATGTTGGACATAATATAGCCAAGAAAAATATATCATAATTTTCACTTGGAAAATTATGGAGGAATTTGTTTCAAATCTACTCACCGAAACTATTTTCTTCAGGAACGAGTGTAAATGGTTCATTACTTTGTAACTAATTCAGCTTTCATAACTTTGAGACCCAGTCCCTGGACCCATTATGTACCTCTGTAATCTTTTGACTACCGCCCACAGGATGGGTCTGGGGTGCATAATAAACATATTCAACTAACAGGATCGAGAGGCTCGGAAGATGGAGTAAATTACCACAATGAAAAGCAGAAGGATGCGGAGAGTACACTGAGACAACATAGTAACTAGCACATGAGGGGAATACTAAAAGACTCTAGCTGTCTTCAAGACCATTAGCTGTCTTCAAGACCCCTAGATGTACTCAAGACCCCTAGCTGTCTTCAAGACCCCTAGCTGTCTTCAAGACCCCTAGCTGTCTTCAAGACCATTAGCTGTCTTCAAGACCCCTAGATGTCTTCCAGACCCCTAGATGTCTTCCAGACCCCTAGCTGTCTTCAAGACCATTAGCTGTCTTCAAGACCCCTAGATGTCTTCCAGACCCCTAGATGTCTTCAAGACCCCTAGATGTTCAACCTTAGCTGTCTTCAGACCCTGATGTCTTCCAGACCCCTAGATGTCTTCCAGACCCCTAGATGTCTTCAAGACCCCTAGATGCCTTCAAGAGCCCTAGCTGTCTTCAAGACCCCTAGCTGTCTTCAAGACCCCTAGATGCCTTCAAGAGCCCTAGCTGTCTTCAAGACCCCTAGCTGTCTTCAAGACCCCTAGATGCCTTCAACAGCCCTAGCTGTCTTCAAGACCCCTAGCTGTCTTCAAGACCCCTAGATGCCTTCAAGAGCCCTAGCTGTCTTCAAGACCCCTAGATGTCTTCAAGACCCCTAGCTGTCTTCAAGACCCCTAGATGCCTTCAAGACCCCTAGCTGTCTTCAAGACCCCTAGATGCCTTCAAGACCCCTAGCTGTCTTCAAGACCCCTAGATGTCTTCAAGACCCCTAGCTGTCTTCAAGACCCCTAGATGTCTTCAAGACCCCTAGATGTCTTCAAGACCCCTAGCTGTTTTCAAGACCCCTAGATGTCTTCAAGGCCCCTAGCTGTCTTCAAGACCCCTAGATGTCTTCAAGACCCCTAGATGTCTTCAAGACCCCTAGATGCCTTCAAGAGCCCTAGCTGTCTTCAAGACCCCTAGCTGTCTTCAAGACCCCTAGCTGTCTTCGACCCCTAGTGCCTTCAAGACCCCTAGCTGTCTTCAAGACCCCTAGATGCCTTCAAGACCCCTAGCTGTCTTCAAGACCCCTAGATGTCTTCAAGACCCCTAGCTGTCTTCAAGACCCCTAGATGTCTTCAAGACCCCTAGATGTCTTCAAGACCCCTAGCTGTTTTCAAGACCGCTAGATGTCTTCAAGGCCCCTAGCTGTCTTCAAGACCCCTAGATGTCTTCAAGACCCCTAGATGTCTTCAAGACCCCTAGGTTTTCAAGACCCTGATGTCTTCAAGACCCCTAGATGTTTCAGAGACCCTATAGATGTCTTCAAGACCCCTAGCTGTCTTCAAGACCCCTAGATGCTTCAAGACCCCTAGCTGACTTCAAGCCCCTAGATGTCTTAAGCCTTCAAGACCCCTAGCTGTCTTCAAAACCCCTAGATGTCTTCAGACCCTAGATGTCTTCAAGACCCCTAGATGTCTTCAAGACCCTTAGCTGTTTTCAAGACCCCTAGATGCTTCAGAGCCCCTAACTGTCTTCAAGACCTCTAGATGTCTTCAAGGACACCTGAATGTTCTTCAGACCCCTGTCTTCAAGACCTATGGTATTCAAGACCCTAGCTTTTACAGACCCCTGCTGTATTCAAGACCCCTAGCTGTGTTTAAAGGACCCTGCTGTTTTCAAGACCCTGCTGTATTCAAGACCCTAGCTGTTTTCAAGACCCCTAGCATGTATTCAAGACCCCTAGATTTATTGAAAGACCCTAGCTGGGTTTTTATGACCCCTAGCAGTATCAAGACCCAATGTTTTCAAGATCCCCACTGCTGATTTCAAGACCCCTACGCCTTTTTCAAGACCGCTAGTGTATTCAAGACCCAAGCTGTTTTAAGAACCCTCAGTGTTTTAGAAGTTACCCTTAGCTGTTTTCAAGACCTAGCTTTATTCAAGACCTAGCTGTTTAAGACCCCTTAGCTGTTTTAAAGACCCCTAGCTTTTTCAAGACCCTACAGTTTTCAAACCCTAGCTGTTTTAAAGACTCCGTAGCTGTATTCAAGACCCTAGCTGTTTTCAATACCTACTGTATTCAAGACCTAGCTGTTTATAAAGACCTATTTATAATGACCCTAGCTGTTTTCAAGACCCCTAGGGTATCAAAGACCCCTAGCTGTTTTAAAGACCCCTGCTTGTTTTAAAGACCCCTTAGCAGTTTTCAAGATCCCTAGCTGATTTTCAAGACCAGTAGCTGTATTCAACCTAGCTGTTTCAAGACCCTAGCTGTTTTTCAAGACACCTAGCTGTTTTCAAGACCCCTAGCTGTATTCAAGACCCCTAGCTGTTTTTCAAAGACCCTAGCTGATTTAAAGACCCTACTGTTCTCAAGACCCTAGCTGTTTTCAAGAACCCCTAGCGCTGATTAAGACCCCTTGCTGTAATTTAAAGAAAACCTAGAATTTTCAAAGACCCTAGCTGTATTCAAGACCCCTAGGTATGATTAAAGACCCTAGTGTTTTCAAAGGACCCAAGGGTGTGTTTAAAGAACCCCTAGCTGTTTCAAGACTCCTAGCTGCTTTAAAGACCCAAGACTGGTTTTCAAGAAACCCAGCTGTATTCAAGAACCTAGCTGTTTTAAATACCTAGCGTTATTCAAGACACCTAGCTTGGTTTTAAAGTCCGCCGGTGTTTCAAGACCCCTAGTGTTTTCAAGACCTAGCTGTTTTCAAACCTAGCTTTTTCAAGACCCCTGCTGTTTCAAGAACCCTAGCGTATTGGTTCAGACCCTAGTGTATTCAAGACCCTAGCTGTTTTAAGACCCTAGCTGTATTCAAGCAGCCTTTAGTGTTTTCAAAAACCCCTAAGCTGTTTTGAAGACCTAGTGTTTTCAAGTACCTAGCTGTTTTCAAGACCCCTAGCAGTTTTCAAGACCCCTATATAGCGTATCAAGATCCTTAGCTATGCTTTTCAAGAACCCTAGTGTGTTCAGACCCTAGCTGTTCAAGACCGACGTGTTTTCAGGACCCTAGCTTGTATTCAAGACCAAGCTGTTTGCAAAGACCAGCTGTTTCAAAGACCCCTAGCTGTAGTCAAGACCACCTAATGTTTGGAAGCCTAGCTGTTTCAAGGACCCCTAGCTGTTTTCAAGACCCCTAGCTGTTTCAAGACCCCTAGCTGTTTTCAAGACCCCTAGCTGTTTTCAAGACCCCTAGCTGTTTTCAAGACCCCTAGCTGTTTTCAAGACCCCTAGCTGTTTTCAAGACCCCTAGCTGTTTTCAAGACCCCTAGCTGTTTTCAAGACCCCTAGCTGTTTTCAAGACCCCTAGCTGTTTTCAAGACCCCTAGCTGTTTCAAGACCCCTAGCTGTTTTCAAGACCCCTAGGTTTTTTCAAGGGCCCCTAGCTGTTTTCAGACCCCTAGATATTTTCAAGAACCCCTAGCTGATTTCAAGACCCCTAGTGTTTTCAAGACCTGAGCATGTTTTCAAAAACCCCTAGTGTTTTCAAGACCCCTAGCTGTATTTAAGACCCCTAGCTGTATTTAAGACCCCTAGATGTCTTTAAGAGGAAACTTGACAAGTTCCTCTAGTACCCGATCTATCGGGCTGTAGTGCCTACGTTGAACTACATGCTGCTAGCGCTACCAACAGCCTTGTTATTCAGGCCATCAACTAAGAGGTTTGGACTGGGACCGAGCTGCAGGGGGGTGACCCCCTGAATCAACTACAGGTATGCTACAAGTATATCAACAGGGCTATACTTACTGACATCCCATCAGCAATTTTCTTAAAAATAAGAATTTATCTGGAATATTATTAGGTCTGGTGCTTTTAGTTTGACTCAATTATCAAAGTACAAAATTAATAATATACACATAATAGCTGATTTTGAGTAGGGCCCTTTATTAAGGTTTGGTCATAAAACTTCAAAATAGTATTACACTGAGAGTTAATGTCTCTCAGTGGTATATACTCTGAAGAGTTTACTTTAAGCCGATTTTAGAGATTAAAGAATTTCTGTCTGGTAGTGAAAAGGTTACGAGAAGCCTTAATTAATGACCCTGGTGTAGTAGATACGAATTTAAACCCATTACCCCCATTTATTCATCACTGAAATGTGAAAGAAACTTGTCGGGTCACCCAGCCTCAGGAGGAGACAGCCTTAAAGTTTATTATATTAAATTTAATATATATATATAGATATATATATATATATTTAATATATATATATAATATCTTATATATTGGTATTAAAAGTTGACCGACCGAAAACGTGGACACGAGAGCACAGGTGTACTAGTGAAGACAATAGGTTAGTTATCACAGAGGTAATCACAAAGGGTAGGTCTGTGTTGTTTGTTCTCCCAAGTAACAACAAACACAGTAGAGTGAGTCAGAGACTCGGGTCTTAAAGTCTAAATGTAGACTAAGATTGTAGCCAGCTAGATCACGCACCATTTCCCCCCGTCACCTCCCTAAACAGCAAGATACCCTCACCATCCGCCCCGTGCATACTCTTGTAACCCACCTCGCCCACCTGTTGGCACACCTGCATACGCTCCCATGTCCCGTAGCTCGACCTCACACACTGAGGTCCGGGGATCGATTTCTCGGTACGGCTGGAAAACATTAGGACGTGTTTCCATAAGACACCTGCTGTCCATGTTCACCTATTAGTAAAATGGGTACCTGGGTGTTAGTCGACCGGGACAAAATTGACCTAATTTGCCCGAAATGCTCTGCATAACAAGGGGCTTTCTATAAAGTAGTATGTCATTATTATTGCTATTTTTATTGTTATTATTATAATACCTGCATTCAGCCTATCAGAACACCTACATTCGTTCCACCAATACCCGCACCCTGCCCACCCAAACACCAGCACTTCATTCATCTGCACACAAGCATCCAGACTTACTCAATAAAAAAGGTACTAGTTAGAGAAAGAAAACCTTGAATTAGCACATCAGAAACTCTGCCAGCATATCAGAATTAAAACGAAAAACACCATGTAATCTTAACAAGCACCCTGGAATCTTGACAAGCACCCCGTAATCTTAACAAGCACGTTGGAATATTAGCAAGCATCATGTCGGAATATGGACCACCTGAGGAAGGCGGTGTCGTGGCAGAGCAAGACTCACCACAGTGAAAGTGTAGTCGAAGTTGATGTCAAGAGCCTGGCCAGAGGGTCGCCGGTGGTAACAAGGAATGTCAAGTTGCGAGAACGAAGGTTTCCTTTGCTTCTTCGGGATCTTGATGACGCAGTTCGCGGCGTTAAGACTGTCCACCGTTTCCACCAGGGACTCTCTGGAGACCTGTTGCGCTCTTCTTTTGACCAGGTCATGATCCCCATCTGTGTCATCTTCGGAGGTCTCCGGCGCGACGCTGGCAGCGACCTTCGCCGCTGTGGGTTTTTCTGATAGGGTGGGGGACGCCAAGGAATCGGAGCTCCTGCTGAAGGGAAATCTCGCTCTTTTCCTGAATTTAGCGCGATTATGGGGCGGCACCTGCAGATAATCGATGGTTGGGATGCTTCTTGAGACTACCTCCTCCTCCTCTTCCTCTGCCTCCGACCGTCTCCACGTAAACTCGCTGCTGTCGAACCTGAGCGGTGTGTTGAGTTCCCCGCATCGTGATACGTCGTCGGAATCAAAAACGTGAATGCTAACGGGGCTGGTAGGGGACGTGAGGAGGCGGGACTGCGCCCCTAGTTTGGGTGGAGCGGTGTCTGGCTTAGCAGCGAGGGGATCAGTGGAAGACATGCTGAGGAGGGGAAGGCCGTGAGAACCGATCATTGATGGTTTATCGTTAGTATCCTTGAGCGGCGGCGCTTCAGCCAGAGTGTCCTGAAGGTCCTCAGTGTTAGCCAAGATGGCCTCCCTGAGGATATGATCGACCACGTCATCGCAATGAGAAGTGTTACTCGGTGGGTCACCTGAGGTCAAAGCAGGTGACACGGTGGGGGTGGAAACCCCTTCCACGTCCGCCATGTTTGTGCCCATTACCGTCACCTTGCTCCCTCCATCACTTCCTGTGGTGTCTACACTCGGTACACTGACGCAGCCCGTCCTCATGACCAGCATGCAATTTTCAACGTACTTGCTTACGACAGAGTATAGTATATGTTTACCCCGCCGCTGTTACCATGAGATAACATCCTCCCAAGTTATGCATTTTGTTTTGCTGTAATGGGTTAATTTAGGTTAATGTAACCTAAGTCACCGTAGTTTAGTCTTAACAGGAAAGTTGTAACAGAGGTCTGGTGAACAGATAATACTGGTGCCGTGTTAAGATCGTGTTGAAATACAGGTTCTGCAATGCGTTCGAAACCGAACAGAGACAGATTGGTCAGACTGTGGCAGGGAGGATGGCTGGGTCGCCACAATTTTGAAATTTCAAATGTGACACTAACATATACTGGGCTACCCGGACAGATGATCCAGCCTCCACCACTCCTTGCGCTGAATGACTCACGCAGATTTAACGGTTCACGTAATTATAATTACAATAATAAATGATGATGGGCTTGTGGTGCTGATATCACAGTCAAGTGGCTCGTCTACTGTGCATCAAGGCGGATGTTGCTCCTTCACTCAAGTCTCCACTACAACACCAAGACACACTCCATGATGAGGACACTACTTGTAAATTAACCATAAGACAAGATGTAGAAAGTTTTACATTTTCGGTCACAGTAAGGAGAGTGATGGCTGGATGGTGGTCTTAGTGTTCCACCACCACCATAATGTTATCACCTCCCGCAGTTCTACTTTAATGTCCGACACACAAATATAATATAAGGATCACGCAGTTTTCAGTGTTCCCTTAGTTTCTGCCCATGATAAGTACTGTTAATGAACATAGGAATCAATGTGGGTAACTAACACAGATCGCACTGGGTGAGTTTACATGCCCTAGGTATGGGTATATGCCCTCAGCATTCATAATGTTCAATATACCTGTATGTTTCCGGGTCTCATATACAAAACTACAATTTACATCCTGATAAGTCACGACATATTTTTCCTGTGAGGCAACACTAAAGCCTCCGTTACTATATGTTAGGCACTAGGTGATGGCAAGCGGTCCTCTCATTGATGATACTGTAGTCCACAGGTACGACCAGTGAAACAATCCCTCACCACCTGGACCATCACGTGCGGGGCGCTGTCTGTACCTTACGATCAGGTGAGGTCAGGTCGAGTAGTCTAGACTCGTCCTAAGAGCTCTCACAAGTACTGTTTTCGCTGTTGCTAGACCCTAATGCCATTCCAGGGCACAAGGTTCGCTATCACCCACGAAATGTAAGACTTAAACGAGTTTTTGAAACTGAGGAACCAGAAGTCTCTGAGCATGTCTGGTGCTATGGAAAACACAGCTGCTGCGCGTGAGTTGCTTGCAGCAACAGGCACTGAATGCCACTGCTCAGTGAGGTGGCACTGAGCCCAGGTGGGAGGTGTTGATGGTGGAGGCAGTAGCTCCCAGTGCCACAGTGGCAGGGACTGAGTGGAGGGACAGTTGGCTCCGTCAACATTCCCTCCCTCCATCTACTCTTCTCAAGGTAAGGGGCTCTTGATCCAAATAACTGGACTTGCCTCTTTTCCCTTGAATCAAACCAACTGCTATCCATTCCTCAGGAGTTATATGACCCCAACGAGTCTAGCGCTTCCCAAAGGTTAAAATAAGAATCGAGTCCAACTATTCACCCCCCCACACACACACACGTCTCAAGAAAGTCAAGGCTCTGGAGTAAACATCATATTTTTTTTTTCATTTCAGGGCAATACTAGGCAGCGAGCCTCTGTTTTCCAGATGGGATGTAAAACCTAGCTGCAGTAAGCCAGAGAATGTTTAGCCAGTTATGGGTTATCATCTAACAAAGAACCGTGTCAGGAGATATTACCTAGCACCACGATGAATAAACTCCTCCAGCACTATTGAGCCCGGAATTGCATGTAAACTAGTTGACTCCGGCAGTCTATGCGAGACTAGCAAATCTTAAATTAACATTCATGATTTCAACAATTTTTTTTTTAATTCTACTCAGTGTTAAGCCCATCTTAGAATATGCAGCACCAGCTTAGAGTCACAATTTAATTAAGCATGTTCTAAAGCTTGAACAGATGTGAAGGTCTGCAACGAGATTAGTGCCAAAGTTTAGGATGGTTGGGGTTGCACTATAAGGATCTATATAAAGCAGGTGAACCTGATAAGCCTGAAAGGACTAAGGAACACACGATTACAACTCACAAATTTACAGCATATACTGATAGGGCACATAAGGGCAGGCTGAAATATGATGACCAGGTGCAAGGGGACATAGTTGAAAGTTAAAAAAAAAACACAAGTCATAGGGATGTTAAAAAAGTTTCTTTTTAGTCTCAGGGAAGTAAGGAAGTGGAATGAACTCGATGTGTAAACGGAGGCAATCTTCATCCACAGCTTGAACGTTGGGTATGACATTCTCCAAGAGGATATAAAACTGTAATGGCGGTCGAAAAAAAAAACTTATGTGGTGTGTAATTAACATTATAAAAAGATGACAGAATATTAGGTTCATGCACAAATAACCCGCACATAGAAGAGAGGAGCTTACGACGACGTTTCGGTCCGACTTGGACCGACTTGCAGTGCTCCCCTTTCTTTGTATTTGACTGGCTCCTCCTCCTTTATTCCCCACTACTACCACTACCACTACTACTACTACTACTCCTACTACCACCACCACTACCTCTTTCTACCTATATATACCCGTCCTGCTCCACTTCTCGTTAGTGTGTCTTTGTAAATGGTCCAAGTTGGACCGAAATGTCGTCGTAAGCTCCTCTCTTCTATGTGCGAGTTATTTGTGTATCGTTCCAGTCACGGTATTGTGCCTTTTTGTTATTAGGTTTATGTGATCGCTCGCCTCACAATCGAAGAGACCCGGACTAGAGTGAGGGCGAGGCGAGACGTTGAGTCAAGTCTTCTTACACCTGCTGCTCCTTTTCATTTAACAGGGGAGAAAAATCTTGGGTGAGTCGACTGTTGTGTCACATTCTTGGTGAACACTTAGAAGCCGGAAAGGATAAATGCAACACGAGTACTATTGGGTTTTCTTGAAGCACCATAAAACAGTGTTCTTCTTACAGACAAATTAACCAAACTAAATGCTAATATAACTTCATAAAGAATACTTTGGTTTAGTTTGGCTACTCCTGTTGATGCCGGTGACGGGGAGCATGACTCATCCTTCCCTTCCATGAACGAACCTGAATCCTTCCCATTACCCAGGCGCTATATAACCCCAACGGGTTTAGCGTTTCCCTTGAATAAAATAAAATAGAGTGGTTAATTAGGTTTAGTTTATGGTTACGCCAGGGTCATAAAGCTGCATGTCACCTGCTCATCACAGGATACACACACCAATAAGTGCATCTCCTTCAGGGTATGCATGCTAAAATTTGATCTTATTCCCTATTTTACGTACTAATATATTCTTGTCTGGTGGTGGAAAATTTACGTGCAGACTTAATGTAGTCGATAGGCTTTAAACCTTATTCACCAACCAATTCTCCACCAGTCAAGTATTAATATATATATATATATATATATATATATATATATATATATATATATATATATATATATATATATTATATATATATATATATATATATTTATATATATATATTATATATATATATATATATATTTTATTGTAATCACGAACAAGTGGTATTCAATAAATAGCAACACTGCGACTAGCCGAGGATTCGAACCCGTGTTGTTTTAGTCCGACGCTCTAACCCACGGGACCATACAATCCTAGAAGAATCACGCACCCAGCAAAACTAGGTGTTGTACCGTGATCTAAGGACATACGATGATGAGGGTGCTTCAGAGCTAATTTCATCCTCCTCCCCGTTGCTAGTACACCAGACGGGGAGGAGGATGAAATTAGCTCTGAAGCACCCACACCATCGTATATTCTCGGATCACGGTACAACACCTAGCTCTGCTAGGTGATTGTATATTATAGGTCGCCACTCATGCTGTGAGGGAACATACTGCTGTAATGACAGGGTACTCCATTATATAAGAACACAGGAAAGAAGAAACACTGCAGCAGGCTGACTGGCCCATGCGAGGCAGGTTCACTTCTCCGACCGGCTTAAGCCAATGCCTTAACCTAGTCAGGTCAGGTCACATTCACTTAAGGGAGGAGCACGGCATCTGGCCTAGTAGCACAAGCTAGTCAAGTCAAACTCACACCCACACACACCCACTCATGCATTTATCTAACCTATTTTAAAAACTACACAACGTGTTAGCTTCTATGACGGTACTCGGGAGTTTGTTCCACTCATCCACAACTCTATTACCAAACCAGAGCTTTGCCATTAGTAGCATCAGTTCCATCCTTGGCTGTTACAAACTACAGGTATCACTACCTTTAAAAAAAATGTTAAAAGGCAAAACAAAATAATAAACAGTGGAAGGTTTTCAAATGTACAAAATAAAACGTAGGGACAACACAACATAAAACCAACACAACATAAAACCAACACAACATAAAACCAACACAACATAAAACCAACACAACATAAAACCAACACAACATAAAACCAACACAACATAAAACCAACACAACATAAAACCAACTCAACATAAAACCAACACACAAGAGAATAAGAAGAAGAATGCTCAAAAAATAATGTTCCCAACAGCTGCTCTAAATTTTCCCTCCAACAGGATAAAGTTTATTCTTTAAAATAAAATTATGTGGGTGCAGAGAGTGGGGCGACGCAGGTTGGAAGATCTCCAGGCATGATAGAAACACGACGACCCACACATCATCTCTAACTGACATACTGTTATTTATGTCGGAGAAACAACCAGGCCATTAACTCACGTCCTATCATATCAACATTAACTGGTTTCATGTTGCTAAATATAAAAAAAACTAATTTGGTATCGAAATTAGACACCATTAATGCTAGGACTAACAGAGTAACTATGTAAGTTGTTACTTAAGGTGGAAAATAGGATGTCAACATATTGTATATCTCCCTGGGAGACTGTATATCTCCCTGGGAGACTGTATATCTCCCGGGGAGACTGTATATCTCCCTGGGAGACTGTATATCTCCCTGGGAGACTGTATATCTCCCTGGGAGACTGTATATCTCCCGGGAAGACTGTATATCTCCCTGGGAGACTGCATATCTCCCTGGGAGACTGTATATCTCCCTGGGAGACTGTATATCTCCCGGGGAGACTGTATATCTCCCGGGGAGACTGTATATCTCCTGGGAGACTGTATATCTCCCGGGGAGGACTGTATATCTCCTGGGAGACTGCATATCTCCCTGGGAGACTGTATATCTCCCTGGGAGACTGTATATTTCCCGGGGAGAGACTGTATATCTCCCGGGGAGACTGTATATCTCCCGGGGAGACTGTATATCTCCCTGGGAGACTGTATATCTCCCGGGGAGACTGTATATCTCCCTGGGAGACTATATCTCCATGAGAGACTGTATATCTCCCTGGGAGACTGTATATCTCCCTGGGAGACTGTATATCTCCCTGGGAGACTGTATATCTCCCTGGGAGACTGTATATCTCCCTGGGAGACTGTATGTCTCCCGGGGAGACTGTATATCTCCGTGGGAGACTGTATATCTCCCGGGGAGACTGTATATCTCCGGGGAGACTGTATATCTCCGGGGAGACTGTAATCTCCAGGGAGGACTGTATATCTTCTGGGAGTGTATATCTCCCTGGGAGACTGTATATCTCATGAGAGATGTATTCTCCCGGGGAGACTGTATATCTCCGGGGAGAGTGTATGATCTCCCTGGGAGACTGTATATCTCCCGGGGAGGACTGTATATCTCCGGGGAGGACTGTATATCTCCGGGGAGACTGTATACTCCCTGGGAGACTGTATATCTCCCGGGGAGACTGTATATCTCCCTGGGAGACTGTATATCTCCCGGGGAGACTGTATATCTCCCGGGGAGACTGTATATCTCCCGGGGAGACTGTATATCTCCCGGGGAGACTGTATATCTCCCGGGGAGACTGTATATCTCCCGGGGAGATTGTATATCTCCCTGGGAGACTCTGTATCTCCTGGGGAGACTGTATATTTCCCGGGGAGACTGTATATCTCCCGGCGAGACTGTATACCTCCCGGGGAGACTGTATACCTCCCGGGGAGACTGTATATCTCCTGGGGAGACTGTATATCTCCCGAGGAGACTGTATATCTCCCGGGGAGACTGTATATCTCCCGGGGAGACTGTATATCTCCCGGTGAGACTGTATATCTCCCGGGGAGACTGTATATCTCCCGGGGAGACTGTATATATCCCGGGGAAATTGTATATCTCCCTGGGAGACTGTATATCTCCTGGGGAGAATGTATATTTCCCGGGGAGACTTTATATCTCCCGGCGAGACTGTATACCTCCCGGGGAGACTGTATACCTCCCGGGGAGACTGAATATCTCCTGGGGAGACTGTATATCTCCCGAGGAGACTGTATATCTCCTGGGGAGACTGTATATCTCCCGAGGAGACTGTATATCTCCCGGGGAGACTTTATATCTCCCTGGGAGACTGTATATCTCCCTGGGAGACTGTATATCTCCCTGGGAGACTGTATATTTCCCGGGGAGACTGTATATCTCCTGGGAGATGTATATCCCGGGGAAGACTGTATATCTTCCTGGGAGACTGTATATCTACCGGGGAGACTGTATATCTCCCGGGGACACTGTATATCTCACTGGGAGACTGTATATCTTCCTGGGAGACTGTATATCTCCTGGGGAGACTGTATATCTCCCGGGGAGACTGTATATCTCCCGGGGAGACTGTATATCTCCCTGGGAGACTCTATATCTCCCAGGGAGACTGTATATTTCCCGGATAGACTGTATACCTCCCGGGGAGACTGTATACCTCCCGGGGAGACTGTATATCTCCTGGGGAGACTGTATATCTCCCGAGGAGACTGTATATTTCCCGGGGAGACTGTATATCTCCTGGGAGACTGTATATCTCCGGGAGACGTGTATCTCCTGGGAGACTGTATATTCTCCCGGGAAGATGTATATCTCCGGGGAGACTGTATATCTCCCGGGGAGACTGTATATCTCCCTGGGAGACTGTATATCTCCCGGGGAGACTGTATATCTCCCTGGGAGACTGTATATCTACCGGGGAGACTGTATATCTCCCGGGGACACTGTATATCTCACTGGGAGACTGTATATCTTCCTGGGAGACTGTATATCTCCTGGGGAGACTGTATATCTCCCGGGGAGACTGTATATCTCCCGGGGAGACTGTATATCTCCCGGGGAGACTGTATATCTCCCTGGGAGACTCTATATCTCCCGGGGAGACTGTATATTTCCCGGGGAGACTGTATATCTCCCGGCGAGACTGTATACCTCCCGGGGAGACTGTATACCTCCCGGGGAGACTGTATATCTCCTGGGGAGACTGTATATATCCCTGCGAGACTGTATATCTCCCTGGGAGACTGTATATCTCCCTGGGAGACTGTATATCTCCCTGGGAGACTGTATATCTCCCTGGGAGACTGTATATCTCCCTGGGAGACTGTATATCTCCCTGGGAGACTGTATATCTCCATGAGAGACTGTATATCTCCCTGGGAGACTGTATATCTCCCTGGGAGACTGTATATCTCCCGAGGAGACTGTATATCTCCCTGGGAGACTGTATATCTCCCGGGGAGACTGTATATCTCCCGGGGAGACTGTATATCTCCCGGGGAGACTGTATATCTCCCGGGGAGACTGTATATCTCCCTGGGAGACTGTATATCTCCCTGGGAGACTGTATATCTCCATGAGAGACTGTATATCTCCCTGGGAGACTGTATATCTCCCTGGGAGACTGTATATCTCCCGGGGAGACTGTATATCTCCCTGGGAGACTGTATATCTCCCGGGGAGACTGTATATCTCCCGGGGAGACTGTATATCTCCCGGGGAGACTGTATATCTCCCGGGGAGACTGTAATCTCCTGGGAGACTGTATATCTCCCTGGGAGACTGTATATCTCCCGGGGAGACTGTATATCTCCCTGGGAGACTGTATATCTCCCGGGGAGACTGTATATCTCCCAGGGAGACTGTATATCTCCCGGGGAGACTGTATATCTCCCTGGGAGACTGTATATCTCCCGGGGAGACTGTATATCTTCCTGGGAGACTGTATATCTACCGGGGAGACTGTATATCTCCCGGGGACACTGTATATCTCACTGGGAGACTGTATATCTTCCTGGGAGACTGTATATCTCCTGGGGAGACTGTATATCTCCCGGGGAGACTGTATATCTCCCGGGGAGACTGTATATCTCCCGGGGAGAATGTATAGCTCCCGGGGAGACTGTATATCTCCCTGGGAGACTCTATATCTCCCAGGGAGACTGTATATTTCCGGGGAGACTGTATTATTCCCGGCGAGACTGTATACCTTCCGGGGAGACTGTATACCTCCCGGGGAGACTGTATATCTCCTGGGGAGACTGTATATCTCCCGAGGAGACTGTATATTTCCCGGGGAGACTGTATATCTCCCTGGGAGACTGTATATCTCCCTGGGAGACCGTATATCTCCCTGTGAGGCTGTATATCTCCCGGGAAGACTGTATATCTCCCGGGGAGACTGTATATCTCCCGGGGAGACTGTATACCTCCCTGGGAGACTGTATATCTCCCGGGGAGACTGTATATCTCCCTGGGAGACTGTATATCTACCGGGGAGACTGTATATCTCCCGGGGACACTGTATATCTCACTGGGAGACTGTATATCTTCCTGGGAGACTGTATATCTCCTGGGGAGACTGTATATCTCCCGGGGAGACTGTATATCTCCCGGGGAGACTGTATATCTCCCGGGGAGACTGTATATCTCCCTGGGAGACTCTATATCTCCCGGGGAGATGTATATTTCCCGGGGAGACTGTATATCTCCCGGCGAGACTGTATACCTCCCGGGGAGACTGTATACCTCCTGGGGAGACTGTATATCTCCTGGGGAGACTGTATATCTCCCGAGGAGACTGTATATTTCCCGGGGAGACTGTATATCTCCCTGGGAGACTGTATATCTCCCTGGGAGACTGTATATCTCCCGGGAAGACTGTATATCTCCCGGGGAGACTGTATATCTCCCGGGGAGACTGTATATCTCCCTGGGAGACTCTATATCTCCCGGGGAGACTGTATATTTCCCGGGGAGACTGTATATCTCCCGGCGAGACTGCATACCTCCCGGGGAGACTGTATACCTCCCAGGGAGACTGTATATCTCCTGGGGAGACTGTATATCTCCCGAGGAGACTGTATATCTCCCGGGGAGACTGTATATCTCCCTGGGAGACTGTATATCTCCCTGGGAGACTGTATATCTCCCTGGGAGACTGTATATCTCCCTGGGAGACTGTATATCTCCCTGGGAGACTATATATCTCCCTGGGAGACTGTGTATCTCCCAGGGAGACTGTATATCTCCCGGGGAGACTGTATATCTCCCGGGGAGACTGTATATCTCCCAGGGAGACTCTATATCTCCCGGGGAGACTGTATATTTCCCGGGGAGACTGTATATCTCCCGGCGAGACTGTATACCTCCCGGGGAGACTGTATACCTCCCAGGGAGACTGTATATCTCCTGGGGAGACTGTATGTCTCCCGAGGAGACTGTATATCTCATGGGAGACTGTATATCTCCCTGGGAGACTGTATATCTCCCTGGGAGACTGTATATCTCCCTGGGAGACTGTATATCTCCCTGGGAGACTGTATATCTCCCAGGGAGACTGTATATCTCCCGGGGAGACTGTATATCTCCTGGGGACACTGTATATCTCCCTGGGAGACTGTATATCTTCCTGGGAGATTGTATATCTCCCGGGGAGACTGTATATCTCCCGGGGTGACTGTATATTTCCCAGGGAGACTGTATATCTCCCGGGGAGACTGTATATCTCCCTGGGAGACTCTATATCTCCCGGGGAGACTGTATATTTCCCGGGGAGACTGTATATCTCCCGGCGAGACTGTATACCTCCCGGGGAGACTGTATACCTCCCGGGGAGACTGTATATCTCCTTTTAACGAGATTATTTGGTAGTATGGTAGCGGGGAGTAAATGATAATTCTTCGGAGGCTTCTTAGTTTATTGTTAAATAGTGGTGGGTACACAGGCTTGTGTGTTTGTGCCCATGGCCCAGGCAGGACCATGCCCACGAGAGAGAGCTGGGAGGCCTTGTGTCTTGCTGCTAGGCCGCTGTGAGAGTGAGGGTGAGGCAAGTCTGGGCATACTGAAGTGGCAAGGCCTATAGGTGGCAGCACCAGCATGGCGTGAAATATGAACTAAGCTGGCAGACAGCATGGGCTGTCTGTGCAGACAGTACAGGCTGTTTACATATGCTCGGCCACCTACCGCGCGTCGTCCCGACACGACAATACTGGTGGTAAAATAAACTCGGTCTCTCTCTCGTAGGAACGGGCACAGCACCAAATAAAAACATATATATACCACATGGACATGGAAAAAAAAACTTCCTAAGGGAGGGAAGAAAAAAAACATGTGGGGTGTGCTAAACATCGTGGTCAAAGGGATGTGAGCGTTTTGAAGGCATCACTGCATGCCTTCCTGCGTCTGGAAGATACTGCAAACAGGGAGACATCGAGCGGCTGAGCTGTGACGTAAATAGGGTACGGTCTCTCTGGAAACGGTGAAGCAGTCATTGTAAGAGTCGCTGCAGGTTTTCACTCAACCTTGGGCACGACATGCTGGTGCCCTCGAGTGAGGCGTCGACAAATCTCGGCAACTGGACAGGACTTCTGGCAAGCGACTCAGAAGGACACTTCTCGACTGGTACTGTCGCTGGGCTGTCACTGCCGGCGAGCGTGGAGCGAGTTGTGGAGCGAGTCGCGGCAGAGATGACTGGGCGAAACATCTGGGAGTCGTAACATCATACACCAGACTGCAGTGAGAGAGCTAGCAGTCAAAGTGACATCTTCTTTGTGCAGGCTGCTCACTGAAGCTTGAGACACGAGGCTGACACAGAGTGTCATTCTCTCGGCAGTTGGAGTTATAGCAGAGGTTAGTCTAAGCGTCCCCAGACTTGTTCCTTCACATTAAACTGTACTTTTGACGGTCTGGAGGTGAAGTGAAACAATCTCGATGGGAATCATAGCAGGTACGATTGCAGAACATCACGAGCGCGAGCATAAAAGCTTTCTGTACAAGAGGGCTCGGTCACTCGGGGCTGTCTTGACATCAGCTGTCAAACACACTGGTCACAAGGGTGACTTAACACAGTGGTGCTACTCAGGTCTGGCTCAGACCTCACTGGACACACGGAAACTTTAAAAACACACTGCGGTACATACGGTACACTAACATGTGAGAACACTGACTGAGAGGAATTAATTAACACACGACATATATTTTCTCTCAATCTTCTCGACAATACTGAAATAATTACTAGAAACACTCGATGTGACATGTGATGTCAGGCGTGATGTCACGAGGTGACGTCAGCAGGACTGTGACGTCAGCAGACATCTCGAGGTGACGTCAGGCAGACATCGTGACGTCATGAAGTCGGGCAGCATCGTCGGTGACGTCAATGTGATGTGGGCAGCAGACCACAGCATGAGGCCTGGGACATCTGGCAACTCACGTAGCTCGTAGGTCTACGTGACACCGCCCACACCGTGGCGTCGTGATCCACGTGGTGTCGTGATCTATGTGGCATGCTGATCCACGTAGCTTCAAGTGGCCTCGGGCACTCGGATACACAGCTCTGGCAATGAATTCACATGGAAAACAGCAGAAAACACAGCAGAGGGAGTGGGCAGTGGTGAGTGGTGTATGGTAGTCTGGTGGCGAGGAGCGTGGGTGAGTGTATGGCAGGGCGAGCATCTGGCCATTCCTCCTCCTCCACCCACAAACACGTGGAGAAGCTCACACTGGACGCAGAAATCGCCACAAAACTCACCTCTGGCTTGCTGAAACAGCTGTGCTGAGCTGAACAACAACAGCAACATACAAGTGACGCTGAACACGTGACTCGAGAAACAGCGTGGGACACTGTGCGTGGAGTCACTGGGATGCCACTTAAAATTCTCGAAGAAATTCGGTAAATTTCGGCTGGATCCTGCTTGTACCTGTGTCTGGATGCTGAAACGTGCAGACACGACATCAGGATAACTCGTTGAGAGACGGATGCTTCTTGTATGGGATGATGAAGTGAAGATGACTTCATCCCTCTTCCTTCCTCTCTTTGGGCAAACACACTGCTGCGACCACCGCTGGTACCAATTATAAAAAAAAAAAAAGAATTATTTGGTGTTCTGGTAGAAGGGAGTAAATGATAAGTCTTCGGAGGCTTATTAGTTTATTGTTAAATAGTGGTGGGTACACAGGCTTGTGTGTTTGTGCCCATGGCCCGGGCAGGGCCATGCCCACTAGAGAGAGCTGGGAGGCCTTGTGTCTTGCTGCTAGGCCGCTGTGAGAGTGAGGGTGAGGCAAGTCTGGGCATACTGAAGTGGCAAGGCCTATAGGTGGCAGCACCAGCATGGCACGAAATATGAACTAAGCTGGCAGACAGCATGGGCTGTCTGTGAAGACAGTACAGGCTGTCTACATCCTGGGGAGACTGTATATCTCCCGAGGAGACTGTATATCTCCCAGGGAGACTGTATATCTCCCTGGGAGACTGTATATCTCCCAGGGAAACTGTATATCTCCCTGGGAGACTGTACATCTCCCGAGGAGAGTGTATAACTCCCGGGGAGACTGTATATCTCCCGGGGAGACTGTATATCTCCCGGGGACACTGTATATCTCCCGGGGGACACTGTATATCTCCTGGGAGACTGTATATCTCCCGGGGAGACTATATATCTCGCTGGGAGGCTGTATATCTCCCTGGGAGACTGT